AAAGCCTACATTAAATTATTGTAATATTATAGTAACATTTATTTAGTAACATGATATAGGAAAGTGGTGTTAGGGGATTAATACTTTTAATTATTTTAGCTATAAATATCAGCATGAACCAATCACACCCATTTATGTTTTTGTTTCAGTTGATTCAAAGGATTATTCAGTGCATCAACATGTCAGGGTACTCTTACTATTATGAAAAGCTCTTTGTATCAGGTAGGTTTGTAAATTTTCATGTGAAATCAAACATAACACAATTAAAACCCAAATTGGTAGGAATCAAACCAGGTAGGATCAAAGAGTTGAACTTGGGGCCACTGAGTACAATTCCACTTGGTGTTCAGGGCAAGACTTTAACATTGGACTCCCAGATTGCTCTTGTCACTTAGTCATGTACCAGTACTACATGTTTTATAATTCAACACCTTTCTTGTTTCCTTTTCAGCTAATGAGTGTTTAGAGTCCATGTGTTCATGGTTACAGCCTTACTTCTCGTGTTGCTGCGAAATAACTGCATCTTTTGTGATTCAACAACTACAGAGCAGTTCATGTGTCACATATCCTCATATAATGTCTGCTCTTCAACTAATACAGAAGGTAAATGAAGCTGTAAATTGGATTCTGTGGTGTTGTTTTTGTAGTACAATTGATTCTTTTGTGAGCAAGAGACAGTATGAGAAAGATTAGTAGCAACATTTTATTTCTTCATAGAAAGTGTGCAGTCTTTCAGTGTATTTCTTTTATACACAGTTTGGTTGACATGGAAAACATGCCCATTTCCCCAACCAAAGTATAAAAAAAGAATGGGACTTTGGTTCTCTTCTCTTATTTGAGGGGAGCCTCTTGAATTTTTTTTAACATTTGGTCATACACCTCTTTCTGGTATTCTTTACATTTCAAAAGGATGTCTGGTTCTTGTGAAATGTTAATAATTTAACTATTGTAACAGCACTCACATAAGATGTTCTGTCTTAAAAAGGTTTTGGATGGATGGTATTCTGCTTTTTAAAGGTTTTGCATCACTTTGTGTTATTTTGAGTCTGGGGTGACCTTCTGGACCAGTGAGATGCAAAACTAAAAAATATTTTGCTCATGTCAGTCTTCTCACTTATGAGACATTGAGTCCATTGGCATGTACATGTATTTGACATCTCTTTACCAGAGTGAAGGTGACTAGTGGTGGATATTTACTGCGGAGAAAAGTGGCAAGGTACATATCTACCACTAGCTAGCTCCCAACACTGAGGTAAATGGTAAATATATACTAAGACAATGACACGATTATAGCACAAAAAGAACAATTTTAACTCATTTATTCCTCTTATGATTGCAATATGTTGGGATGCAAATCCTATGTGAGTTGCTCAGAAGTGAATGGTAAAGGATATTCAGAGTTTGCGTTGATAATCAGAGTGCACCTCCAGTGCTCTTCACTGTTTTAGTATATACTTACTATCTGGCACTTCTGCTTTTATTGCCTACTGCATTAATTTTGTCATTTTGCAAAACTTAAACAAAGAGCACTCTACAAACTGTAGCTGTATTTTTAAACTTTCTTGTGGCATTGTTGCCTAAACAGTGCCTGTGTCAGTTGAATTATCATTTTTTCCTCTTCGACAGGTCATCATTCATGTTAATACAGCTATCCCAGCCACTTTCATTCAACAACTCTTAGAACCAGACTCTCCTATAATGAAGTTGCGCTCATGCTCTGATCAAGCAGTGAGTACAATATATACAGATTTTGGTTTTTTGACCTTGTTTGGAATTTTCCTTTTATTTAAACTTGCCCTTGTTGATAAGGTAGTTTTTAGGGATATACATGTAACACACACAGCATGTGATCTGCCAAAAATAATGAAAATTCTGTCAGGCTTGCAGGTTGAGAATTGATTGACTGATCAACATTTAGCTTCTCCCTATAAAATCCATACATTATTTGGGAGACAGGTCAAGGCTGTGCTCTAGCAGCGCCCAGTAGCCCCTGGCACCTTACTTTTGCCCTTGGGCGACTCAGGAATTTTAGTATTTTCATACAAGGCATATGCATATGCACCCTAGATTTCACAGTTTCAAAGCACAGGGCTCCTTTCAATTTTCCTTAGAGCACAGCCTTGCAGGTAATCCGAGAATACTCAAACGTATTGGGTAGAAGTTGTTTTCTTGATCTAACACCAAATTCTTGTAACTGGTTCACAGCTCAATGTAGAAGATAGAGGGGAGAATTAAAAATCAGATCTTGGGAGTTATAGGGTTGATAGATGTAAGAATTGAGCGGGGTTTCCTAAACAGGTGTGTGGTGTTCATAGCACTCCTTGCAGAGAAGCTCATTGAAATTGATATGTTTTCCCAGGGCCTCAGACAAATGACATCAGGGAGGGCTAAGACTTATGCATACTGTGCACTGACCATAAGCTTGATAAGTCCCCCTCTTGTAGTTTAGCCCAGCACTGGTTGATATAGTTCAGAACCTCTCTACATTTACTGTTTTTTAACATTGCAGGTGCTGTCATCAGTGATGAAGATTTATCAGGGTTTCCTTGGTATTCATGATGTTCCACTTTTGGAGACAGCTTACAGGTGAAAGTCTTCTCTCACAGTATTTCTGCTTGCACTTTTACACAGATCTTTTCACAGGTTATATTTTGTTTGCATTGTTGTTAGGTGTTTTTGGCAAGTTTGAACTTAGAAGAAATAATGGTAAATTAAAGTTTCAAATGCGACTGCATTTTGTTTTTTCAGAATTGCTGTGAAAGAACTGATCGGCAGCTTTAACCTTCTGCGTAAAACACTTCCAAGCTTGGAAATGAGTGACAATAACTTAGAGCCTCTTTCAAGTAGCAGTAACAAAGAAACAGGCTCACTTGATCCAGACAAGGACAAGCAGAGTGATACCTTGAATACAGAAGAGGATACCCCTGCTCCTATTCCAGTACAGGTGCAAAGTTCCCATGAGTTGGAGAGTATTATCATCTTTGATCTGTGTGCTCTGTCAGAGATTGCAACAACAAAATCAGCAATTTTGAGGGTAAGAGAAAGCAATAGTTTTTCTAATTTGAAATTGAGTTTATGAAATGTTCTGTAAAATCTTTTATTTGTAGTTCAGAGAAGGTTTTGAGGTGGTGGATTCCAAGCCTGCATGTTTTTTTCTTTCTTTTCTCTTCTTTTCTTTTCTTTCTTCAGGAAGAAACCAAAACTCTTTTGTCTCTTGCAGTTTGACACTGCAACATGTAATTACACAGATGTATAGTTTATTTTAAATGAAATAAAATGTTATTTTGCAGTTATGGAAGCTTTCTCCAAGTACTTATCAGTTGCTTACTCAACATCTGGATGCATGCGAGTGGAAGATTGCTGTATGCCATCCCTCTGTCCAGTACACCATTCTTCATGCCCTTTACACATACTGTCAGAGGTAAGTTTACTGTACGAGTATAGCTTTGTTCAGCTCTGAGACTTGAAGACTCAAAAAATACTTCGGAACTTCATCCTCAGATCCTGTTTTCCTTAACCCCTCAAATCTCAGATGTGGTCAGCATATTATTTCTCCCCACAATTTTAAACTATTATCCAGGAAAATTAGTAGGTGAGGATAAAAGTCAAACTTATCAACTGCAGGTTTTTTCCTTGATAAACCCCATATCCTCCTTAGTACTTTGCAGTCAGAAGGGAGAATTGCTGATCAGATCTTGGGAGATTAAGGGTCACATGTCATTGCTGCTATACCCACAATTAGTAGTTTGAAGTTATAGCTCTCTTTTCCATTAATTGTATTAATTTAATATTTGATTTTTTTCTCCTCTTTATTTGGTACTCTTAACTCAACTTTCTTTAACCCTTTAAACCCTAATAGTTACTAACATTTAACATTTAACCGCCTCCCAGTTAGCTCAATGGATAGAGCGCTGGACTGTTGTGTGGTAGGTCGAGGGTTTGAGCCCAGTCGGACCAACTCTCAAGGTCTTAAAATAATTGAGAAGAATGTGCTACCTTTCTTTAACATCAAGAAATGGTGAGATATTCTAGTCTTCTCGGATAGGGACGAATAAAATGGAGGTCCTGTATCCTTCAGGGTTGGGGTAGGAGATGTTAATTTCCCAGCGAGGAGATTACTGTGTGTTGGATGACCTCCCCTGGGGTGGGATGGATGGGTTAAGGGCTGTAGGCTAGAAAACTGTAACAGGTTATTGTGCTTCCTTCTTTAAAATAAAGTTAAAAAAAATTTAATTTCTCATAATATCATCCCTGAATCATGCATTAAGGTCATGAGAATTAAGGTCACTAACAAAAAAGGTTTGATTTTTAAACAAATTCTCCTGATCATCACCCTAGGAAATGTATAAAGAACAGTATGGAGAATATGCATAATGATCTTAGGGTGTAAAGGGTAACTTTTGTTGGATTATGCAAACACAGTTCTACGTTAAGAACTTTGAAGAGATAAATTTGAGAGTGCCAAAAGCCCACAGAGATGTCTGTAATCTCTAACAGAATCCACCAAACTGAGAAAGAATTCTTCTGCTTTATTGATTAATATAATTTACAATTTATATCTTTTTTGTATTGCACAATTTGAATTCATGTTCACTAATTGTCTCACACTGAATAGGACAGTCTACAAATACTTAATAAACTAATAGGTCTGTATGCCTCCTTCATGACTGTAAATTTTTGTACTGTTCTGTTTCAGGTACAACCATTTCCTGCCTAGTTCACCATCAGAGGGTTTGCATTCATCACCAGATGGTGACATGGTTTCAATGTTGAGCCTACTCTCCAAAGTGCTCGGAAATTCCAGTACATCAGAGGATTCCAGGTTCAAAAATATTGTTTTTAGTCAATTTGCTCTTATCAAAGGTGGGATTATCGTTAGAAAAAGAGTTACATCTAGCATTTGCACTTTGGTGTTTTTCCACATAGTCATAATCAGTGCAACATTTAAAGACTTCAGTGTTCTTTGAATAGTGCAGAATTTTGAGATGATAACACAAGTGAATTTCAGCGACTTTACTTGCATCAAATAAAATATAGGCACTGTATAAAGTACTTGCGTTGGCTGAAAAAGTTCAATTACTTTCAACTTTTCTTCTAATGCAAGTGGTCCAAACATTGCCTCTTCTTTCATATTCATATAAACACAGCAAAATTTACTCCTAACAGGTTGAATTATGCAACAGCACAAATTTAGCTTAAATGTTGCAATGTTCATAGTTTAACTAAATCTGGCGACTTTCTTTGATAATTTTAAAACATTTCTTTGACCTTGATTATGCTTCTGTAGAAAGCTGTGTCTTGTCTGGTTGGTGGAGATTTTGGACAGAGCAGTGACCAGTGGTGTCCTGGGAGTGGTTGTTAGGCATGTGAACCTGGATTCTATGGCAGAAAGCATTTTGCCATCTTGTAAGTGTATAAATAAGGTTTTTTCCAAAAACATTTCTGTTGATTTTTTTAATCTCCACTTTCCCTTACAGAGAAAGAGTAAGGGATTCAATCCAAAAATCTGCCTAATTTCATTTTGTAGCAGGGGTGGAAATAATAAAAGTTAGTTGAATATTCACAGCAACAATTTAAACTTCTGTCTTTCTGAGTGTCAGTATTTTTTTTTAACAGCATTTGACCATAATCTCAGCATCTCCTTGGAAGTGTCTTTTTGTCTGAATATTTTAGTTGATCTTAAAGTCCTGTCCAGGAACTGCTTAAGGAAGTAAGTGATGTTTGGTTTTCAACATGTTTAAAGAACAAGTGCAGTGAGCGACAGAATGATTGTTTCTCTTTGGTTGATAGATTTTTTGAAGACTGTGCTGTTCGGTTGATGGATTTGAATAAAGAAGTTTGTATGAGTTACCAGCAACTTATAGGAGCATTACCAATTGACATTTTAACAAGGTTAGTTCAAAGCTGACATGTGAATCTGTATAGAATGTTTGTATTAGTTTAACTATAGACTGACCATAAATACTACATAACAAAATCACTTCAACTTATTAGGTGACTATGGAATTTAGGTCAGCAAATTGATGTAGCAAATTTAGTGGTCAAAAATTTTTCCACCAGCTATGGCAACAAATACTGCTGCAGCTACAACTTTCCATCAATTTTTTTAACTTTTTTATTTGTAATTATCATATCATGAGAACCAAAAATCTGCCTTAACATAGTGCATTTCTCATAGCTCCCTCAGCCAGAGCTTGTTTGAGTCTAGAAGAAGTCGATGTAGAGGCAGTGAACATGTTGGCAAACCTCTGACAACCAGTTGCAGTGATGTATGGTTGGCTCGCAAAGGTCATATTATCAAACCTCCCTCAGGATCATTCCATTCACATGATTTTCAGATTGTTATGGGATTCATTCTGTCTGGTGTTTATCCCAGGTAGGTGAATTATACACCAGGGCTGAGTTGTTCAAAGGTGGGTTAAGATAACCCAGGGTTAGTGTGAATTATGATTTCAGATCTGAAAGCTTTAGAAGAAAATTCAGTTTAATTCCATTTGTTTACAATTTGATGATTGAATGCTCTTAAAGGAATTGGGAAAATTATCCCAAAACGGCTTTTGAACAGAGAAATATAGAAACTTGGATTAAAATTTAACCCCGGGTTAGCGCTAATCTGCTTTCGAACAACTGGACCCAGCAAAATAAATGCAATCCCTTTTATGATAATGTGCATGTATGTGTCTTCCTTTCTCTCTTTAAGTCTTTGAGCCTTATTTAATTTCTCCTTACAATATCACCCCTGAATCACACAGTAAGGTTAGGAGAATAAAGGAAATGATCAACAACTAAAGAAGCACTTGATTTTTTTTGTCAGCCCCTTTGGAATTGTATAGAGAACAGTATGAAGAATATGCATTTATGGGTGTTAGAGTGTAAAGGTTCAACAAAGTTCCCAGACCAGTTTGTGTTCAGTTGAATACAGTTGATAGCCAATTAACTCAGTAAACAACAAAATAATGCTTTATCCAGCTTTCGTTCAGTAAACTGCATGCTTAGAATGCACCCACATGTGACTGTTAGCTTAGTGGGTGGTTGGCATTGGTTTGAACTCAATCAAAGCCTGAATTTCTTAAGCTTCTTTTTTTTCTGCCATTTCTTTAAATGTGGTTCACCTGTGAGGATTATTTCATTTGTTGATATCATCTACAGGATAACAAATTGTGATTGTTTTTTTATTAATTTTGTGATTATTAATTTAATTTGTTTGATGTGTTGTGGGTGTTTCAAATGGATTTACGTTTGTGCAATGATCAACACCATTGGTAATTTTTTTGTCTTTTTTCTTGCAGCAAAGAAGCCAATGCAGACTGGTTGTTGAGACTTTTCCACAGTTGCAATAGAGTTCAGAAGTATGCAGAATCAGAGATGCTTCAGGTATATCTCACAGAAATGACCACAAGTAGTTGTTGTTGGACATTGATTCTACTTGTTTTTTTTTTTTTTTTTTTTTTTCATATCAGTTTAACAGATGTGAATCACTTCTTTGGTTCTGGGCAACTTGGGAAGCAGCTCAGTTTTGCATTTTGTCTCGTTTACGGACACCGCTTGGCAGAGCTCAAGAAACATTCCAGGCAATAGAAGGTAAATTTTTATGGTCCTTAACAATCTCCCTCCACCTGGACTTGAACCAATTTGTTTTTTTTTTGTTTTTTAGTTTTTTTCTGTGGAAAACCTATTTTTGATTCTGTCTCCTTACTTCAAATGTACTATGAGTGGTGCTTTCCTGGTTTTTAAGAAATAGATACTTTATTCACGACTTTCTTTGTTGGTCTTAGAGAAAAATGAAGAGTCAGAGCTTGAGAGATATAATTTCTAAAACTGATTTTCTTTTTAGGTGCTTTACAGATGTTTGAACTGGATGCTAGAGGAGAACAAGAGGAGAAGAACAAAGTAAAGCATGAAGAGCCGGGGTCCAAGGAAGAGGAAGGGAATGAAACAGGTTTAGATGTTATGTATTTATTATCTGGATGAGGCTGTCTAAAGGGTTATCGGGATATGAGATATTTGGGTAAAAAATTATGGGGCTACAATATATGTGAGAAACACATGAACAGGAAACAGAGCTTGAATTTAATTTTTGGATCACTAACCCTTCAGGTTAGTAGACATCTTTTTTACTAACCAAATTATCAAGTTTGGTATCCAAGCTCACAAGTTATGATATCTCAAATATTAAACATTTTGACGATGACGACAAGGAGAAATTAAAGAGTAGTTGAAATTGCATGGTGACCTTCAAAATGTTGACAATTATGCACCTATTTTATTTCCCTCTCATTTACCATGATTAATCAAGAACAGTACATCTGCAGCACATTCTCTAAAAAAAGTTTAAGTTGATTAAACAAATTGAGTATTCTAAATATTCATCTGAGAGGCAGGTCTATAAGCTCTTTGTCCTGAGGTCTACCAGTGTTTAAATATGTTAGAAAATTTTACTAACCATGTCGGGTTAGTTGGACACATTTTTAGTAACCAAAGTTTGAAAATATTACTAACCTTTGGTTAATGGGTTACCATTAATTTTGAGCCCTGGGAAATGGAGTATTTAAGACAGAGATTCCTGGATATCAACATGGAATTATAGGGATACAAACCACTGGAATTAACAGGATATGGGATAGTCAAATATTCGAAACATACTGGTAATCTTAATCTAGTCATAGGCTTTTTTATCTTCACCTTAAGTTTTACTCAATTTTTTCCCATAAGTTAAATGTTGCTTTGATGCAGGGCTTGACACCAATGGTAGCCCACTAGCCTCAGACTAGTAGAAATTCAGTTTTGGCTAGGGGTTTTCAATTTCCACTAGCCAGTTTGGCTAGTAAATAAACTGAAATTGTTGTAAAATCTAAGACGTCACTAGCCACGTGGCTAGTAAGTTGAAAAGTTAGTCTCGAGTCCTGTTTGATGTCATCAAACTTTTTTCTTTGATTTACCTTTTTTACTTTGCTTTTATAGTTGCTTGTCCAAAATCATACACCAACCACCTCCAGTCTGTTCTACTACTACAGTTTGTAGAGAACCTAGAAAAACTCATGTACAATGGCTATGAAGGCTGTGTTGTGGGTCTGCCTTCACCACCCAAGGTACGTGAAAATGGAAGCTCTGTTTTTCATTTTTAAGGCTGGGATTGGCTAGGAATTTAGCTATGTTATATGTGGATCCTCTGCTAAGTTCTAGATATCGATTGAAAATTTCTTATTCAGTCTGTTTGGATATTTCTCTGCTCAAATCGAAGCACTCCTAGGCTTATGGAGTGGCCTGTTAGATGTGAATCCTCTGCTTAGTTGTAGATATTGATGAAAACATTTCTATTTCAGTCTGTTCGGATATTTTTCCGCACAAACCGAAGCACTTGTATGGAGTGGCTTACCAGAGTGAGAAAAGGAGTGATGACCATTGGTACTTTGTGTGGCTGTCCTGCAGTAACTGTTTGGCATGGATTTCAAACATTGCAAGAAATGAAGGCAGCAGGAAACACTAAGGTGCCATGCTTTTATTTAGCGTTAATTCCATGTACATGTAGGTGACTATCAAAAGAAAAGTCCAAAATAAGAGGGGTGGGTTAAATCAGGCTAGGGTCCCTTTGTGAAGTGCTTTTGCTGGGTACACAAAGTCCTCTTTGTGTGCATTTTAAATGGAGATTGCAGATCTGTAACCTTAGGCAGCTTAGTCACTAGGAATAGAGCATGCAGAAACCACAATGTGACTAATGTATATCGATGAGTTTCTTACAGACATCTCTGTCATGATGGTTGATCCAACTGAAATATTACTTCAATATAGGGTGAAGACTTTGACAAAGCTGTGTCACTGACAGCCCAAGCCTTGTGTGAGTTAAAGAGTGCACATGCTATCTCTGGTTTAATGGCCTGGTGTGAGCAAGTTTCTGGTCAGAAATATTCTTGGATGAATGGCACAGTAACAAAGGCTAAGGGATGGTAAGTGAAGAAAGGAATGATTGAAATGAGGGTGGAACACTCAGAAATGTAGCTAGTCTTTTGTTTATGCAAGTTTTTATCTTGAACACATGAATGGTGGGCAACATCAGGGGTGCTTTCCATTTAGCTGTAATTTCCTGTTTAATCTTCCAGGAATTTTAAAGCTTAGAGCTTTACTTTCAATGTTACACATGAAGGGCACTCCAAAACATTAGATGCTTTGTGGTGCTATAAAATATATCCCATTCTGTGCTGTAAGTAGTTTTGTAGTGTGCATACAAATCTGCTGTTTTCTCTTTGTCCTGGATTTGCTGCTATTATATAGTTGTTACTGTCTCTTAGAGAAGTGGTGGAACACAACTGATTAATCCCCACCCCCCTTCCCTAAAATTGGGTCCTAATGTCACCTTACATTTTTAGGTATGAGTGCTCTGCAAAAGAATACAAAGTAGCAGTGGAAGGTGTGTCTAAAGGAACAGAGAAAGGCCAACAAGAAGAAAGAAAGACATCTGAAGCTTCCACACCTAGCATTGTGACAACATTCCTTGTTGATGAGGTATGGCTGCTTATATCCAAGAAACTGTCTTTAAAAAGTTACAAATTCAAATAATTCATGTTAAGGATTTGACAGAGAGTTGTTATCTTTTCTTTAGGTTGCAGACTGCTATATGAAGTTATCATCTTGGAGTGAGGTTTCAGAATGGCAGAAATATGTCAGTAACCTCAGGAAACACTGCACAGACTCTGACATCCAGCATTCATTAATGGCAAATGTTGACACTAATTATGTCAAGTAAGTATTGCTTCTGACAATTTTGATTTGCTACGCTTTTTCTCCTGGAAGATTCACCCAGAGTATTGTTAATGAAGTATGGTTGTCACCGAGTTGTTTGAGTAAGGGGCTATTCTTTTGGAGGAATTTGGTGTTCCTCAGCAGAAGCCTGGGAGCCAGGACTGATCAGGATTGTTACCTATCAAAATACTTCTAAGAATTAGAGGCACTTTTAACAAATATTGCTTTTGGAGAACAGTGATGTCATAGTAGGGCTAGGGTTAGTGGGGTATTCTTAATTGACTTATCAATGCGTGATTTGGTAGGGCTTTGAGCAAATTTGAGGAATGTGACTTCATATCAGTGCGAAACCACCTGCGATTGGTCCCTGGAGCAGCACTTAACTCTCTGACTGAGAATCTAAACAAGTCTGCTTGGTCTGCAAAACTTAATCACCCAGACACAACATTCAGTCCCGCGTGGGCACCAGACAAAATTGTGCAGACGGCTGAACTCTCCTTAATCCAGGCACAGACGCTCTTTTTCACCTCTGGAAATTTGAAAGCAAAGACAAAGGAAAACAATTCAAAAGATGAAAAAATCATGTAAGTAATTTGGAAGAGTAAGTTACATTAGTTTTCGGGGGTATTTGTTTTTTAGAGTGTCAAACGTGATTAGGACTGCACACTAAGATTGCTTCAACTGGTCAGATATGAACTAAAACCAGTCTTTACTTTGATTTTGGTTTCGCGACTGTCAATTGGAATGTACATCAATGTCATTTCTTTTCTTTTCGTTTCTTTTCTTTACAGTCAAACTATAAAAGAGTGTGTCCGCCATGCCACTTCACTTTCTGAAGGAGTTCTTCAAATTGGAACATTGGGCTGGCCACTGGAAGTGTCTGCCTCTCATATCACTCAATTACAGTTTGCTACGGCTATGGAAAATATAATAGAATCCACTCGTCATCAGGTACTGTCTTCTCTTCTTACAGCTGCTAATTTGCCATTGCAGGTCAGAAACTACAGTACACCAATCACGTGTTGTGAGTCATCCTAGAGGCATTCACATATAATTATCATGGGTCTGTCGTGTACAAAAATTTGGCACAGTGCTTCTCATGCTTCCAAAAGGTTGTTTGGGAGGGGTTGATAAGAATGAAAATGTCATACTGTCGTAGTCTGTAATTTGTTGTACTTTGCTGAGCAGGGATGGCCAGGTGGCAAAAGCACTTGTCTCTCCAATTCTACCCGGAAAACAGACGACAAAGAGCCACCTTATGGAAAGACCACAGTTGAATTATAATTTATCTATTATGTTTAGTTTGCAGCCAGTTGATTGTAGTAAGAATAATGACAAATTCTTTGTTGCTCCATTCCTTTATTAGGAGGATTATTCGCCATCATTTTTACGTGGAATTGGTAATTTCAATGTTGATCACACTCAACACGACTGTGGTGTCCTGATGAGAGCATTACGATTTTGTGGAAACCTTCATTACCTAGCCAATACGATGGGAAAACATCAAAATCAGTTGAGAACGGAACTGATTTCATTACAGATGGGAGCAGCTCAACTTGCACGGAAGCATCACAACTTTAATCTAGCTTACAAGCTGTTGGTGAAACAAATTTCATTGCTTGGAAATGCAGCAAAGGTTTCACAGGATGTAAACTGCGGAAAGAAACAGTCTCTTGAGCCATTAATGGACAGCTTAAATGATCCATCTTTTGCAACTGCCAAACCAGTTGATGTGATGGAAATTCAACGAGAATGTTCCAAGTTGGCTTTTGCCATAGGTCACCCTTCAGAAGCTGTTAATTTTCTTGCCGAGAGCATTTCCCAGTATGCAAACCTGGGAGATATTGACTCAAATGTGGGTGCGTTGAACTCAAAATCACTACTCACACTTGCCAAATGGCTGCTTAATGATCGGAAGCTTTTAACTGCGGTCACAAAGGTTAACGGAAATGGTCTCTCTGTAGCGGCAAAAATCAATTCATTGTGTGAGTTAGAGACAAGTTATGTGAGTCTTAGTCACAGCACCCTTATCTCCGCGCAAGAAGAATCCGAGTATGGTTTGAATTCCAGCTCTGTCACCAGTGTGGCCAATGGTATCACTGATGCAGAATCAGTTTGTGGCCAGCTTCTGCACTTGGCCACTATGCAAGCACCAGATCTGGGCAAAGTTTGGTTCAACTTGGCTGGGTGGTGTTACCGATGGGGAAGAAAGACCGTGGAACAAGCCAGGTTTGTAATTGTTTAGTTTATTTTTCTGAAAAACTTCTTTTTGCGTCCTGCCTCCAAAACAATATGCTGTTACTCACGAAACGAGTCACGAGGAAATTATTCTATCGCGGGACAACTTTTTTTTTTTCTTCAAAAGTTTGCCGTGTTACATGTACATGAAGCAATTTTGTACCTTTATTTGCGACTTGTCGTTGTGATGTGTCGTACCAGCTTCTTACTTAGCGTTCCTGAGGTGTGTCGTTGCCAAGTCTATTCGAGTGGTTAAAGAACAGTTGACACCTCAATCTAGATTGAACTGACCGTAAGGCCGGGCTTTTCTTTCCTGTTAGACATATCTAAGTAATGAATTTTAAGATCTGTTGTTGAAAGGATTGATGGTTGATAGCAAAATCAAAAGCGGGTCGATAAATCCAGCGTGGTTTTTCTTGCAATAACCTAACTTTGAAGAAAGCTCGTAAAATTTTGCCTGTCTTACTAATGAATAATTTTCGGTTCTCCGTGATATTCTTTTCCAGCTCAATGGGAAATGTAGGTCTTTTACCACAAGAAAAGGAAACAGTCCTGCAGAGTCTACCTCAGGTAGGGGCCGCCTCTATTTCTTCCAAAGTTCTGCTTGTGTTGCGATTTGGTTGATTGCCAACATTAAATCTCGTTTCTCATCGTTCAGAATGCTCGTCCGGCAGAGGTGGAGTCTGTTATGCTTGTGCTGGGGCAGGTTCATGTGACAGCGTACTTCAACCAGGAAGAAGATATTGGTGAAGAGGATCAGGTATAGTCTTGTTTGTTTGATTAGTTTGCTTTTACATAACCAATTGTACAATTTTTATTTTTCTCGTTGCCGTTATCGGGTTGTGTTCTGAAGTGGAAAGGGAAACATCTTTAAAAGGCAGGCTCGTTTAATCGCTTGAAAAACGGTTAGAACGGTAAAAACACCAACAACCTCCAAAAATTTCGACTCAGAAACAACTCAAAGCTAAAAACCGCACACGCGAAAATCGTACGCGTAATTTGCTTACAAAGTTTCAAAAGCACACGCGCGTTGATTTCCAATGAAATTCGCAACTGATATGAGATTTCATTGGTTTTACCTTTGTAATCTCTGTAATTGAATTATTCCTAATTACAAACCTGGTGCAAAGCGACCTGGTCACTCAAGTTGGTCACTGTTTAGTCAAATGTAGGATAAAGTAGCGGATAAATGCTCCTCCATTGCATTGTAGCAACATTCTTCATGGCATTGGAACCTTGATTTAAGAGATTTAGGCTTAAGTGTGTTTTACATTTTGTAGCTGTATGACGACGGACTGGAAAACACCAAGAAGCAGCTTTTGACCGTCTGTCCTGGGTTGCATGACGCTCAGCCTCAGCTGCTCGAGAATCTGTTGTCAGTATGGAGAGGTGTTCGAGACAGACTCTTCAAACACTACCATTTTGCTGCCAAGGCATACTTCATGTATCTCAAGATGGGAAGTGAGGTATTTGAAGGACTTCATGAGTTGCGCTTTCGAGACTCTGGGATGGATTTGAGCAGTATTTTATTAGGTTAAAGGACAGTGTAACTAAGTTTAGCTCAAGGAACTTAGCGAGCGTTTTCAGTGAGTAGACCATGTCACAAGTGCAGGCTCCCGTGGAATATCGTGGCTATAATAACATCAGCGCAGTCTTTTATAACCGGTTGTCTTTCATTGTTGAGTGGTCTGTTGCAATTCTTTTCAAGTGTTTTCCCATCCTACCCCACCCCCTTTCTTTTACTTCAACAAAAACAAATCATTGTTGAAGGGCTGCTAGAAAGGGGGGGGGGGTCGTGGCTGGATACCTTATATGCCAAACATGGGGGAAGTATTATATCTGGGGTCTGGCTGGACACCCTGCCAACCTTGGGAATACTCAAGCCACCCATGTTTGCATTTTCATGCGAGGCATTATTTACCTTCCTATCCTGTTTTTTTTTTCCAAAGAAACTACAGTTTCAAGTCATTGGGAATAGTTTGCCAAGCATTTAATGTTTTAAGTTTGTAAATGTTAGTGAGTTGTTTCCTGCCCTTGTAGGATTTAGAAGTGTCTTCTGGAGCTGTTAAGAATACAGACCAAACTAAACGCGGGACCAAGAACAGTGACGATGACAGTAACGTCACAGCCACCTTGAGATTGCTGCGTCTCCTTGTTAAACACGCCGGTGAGCTCCGTAGCGAACTGGAGGACGGACTGGTAAAGACACCTACAAGACCTTGGAAAGGTAAAACTTATTATAGTAAAGGAGCGACATGGTAGTTTGTGAATCTCGAGTAATCTACAGTCCTTGTCATCCTTTTCCATCCTAAACCCTCAACTCCCAGACTCTGATTGTTCTCAATTCTCCCCTCTAGCTGATACACATTTCCATGTTAATTGGTAATAAACTTAATTCTGTAGTTTCCTTCATGTTAAGGGTGCTTTTGCGCTTATCTGAAAACGGCTGGAAACGTCGGATGTTATTCTTTTTACACGTCGCTTTTCGATTGATTGTCGAGAAACTAACGCCAGACGCACAAAGGTTCTCACAAGAACCAATCACAGCTAAGGAATCCGATCGAAGCATTTGAGATAGACCATTAGTAGATTTATACTTAATCCACGTCGCTTTTGTCAAGTAACTAAAGATGCTGTCATTCTGAAAATTAATGGCAAAAAAATTATTCTGACTTTGGCCCCACAACAGACATAACTCCTCAACTGTTCTCACGACTGAACCACCCAGAGAGTTATGTGCGGCAGAGTGTATCTGAGTTGCTGTGCCGTGTGGGTCAAGATGCACCACACCTGATAGTTTATCCTGCAGTGGTTGGTTGTTCCACATCTCTCCCAAAGTACTTGCTGAACAAGGGAAAAGAAGGCGAAGGTAAACATTCCTTATTAGTTCCTTACATTTTCTTTGCGATTTTCACCCCAAGAGTTAACGAGACTGATGCTCGACGAGTTCGCGAGAAATTTTCGAAAAGTATCTGATGAATCTCGTGGCCGAGACGAAACGCCGCGTCATGCCAGCCACCAACCTATTTCACAAATATTTGACAGTTTTTCAAAGAGTTAGTTTGCCCTAAAATATTATTCAATATGGATAATGTCAACTTTCCACTCACCCTTCTCACAATGCATTGATACTGTTAAGATATTTTAAATGAATACGAGGAGCTGAGACCATTCAAAGATTAAGGAATTAAGGAGTAATACTACTTACGTGCAGATGAGGTTTGTGTTTGATATGGTTAAGATGTTCATGTAACAGATAAAAAACGTGAAAGGTGATGCTGAGGAAGTGTCCATTCGTTTTATACCAAATCCTTCCTCCCTGATCTCCTTTATACCTTCGCAGCGTCGTTAGGCACAGGTGAAAACAAACTTAACACTGCAAATTCCAGTTTGTATGAGCACGGCAGAAGTCCTTGAGGGCTATTACGCGCTACACGAGTTGATTAAGACCTCTATTAATCACGTTTTAATAGTCTTTTTTTGTTGTTATAATTTTAAGGTTTGCTTCCACTTCTTGTGCCCACCGCCCCCGATGTACCAGCAGAAAACAGCCAAAATCAAGGTAACCAGACGAGTGAAACCCAAGGCATCAAGACAGAGAACGATGCGTTGACTACTTGCTACCAGACTATTGTTGAATCCATCAGGACACACAATCCTCAGCTGGTCTCTGAACTACAGGGATTTATTATGGAGCTTCGTAGAATCACTCTGCTCTGGGAAGAACTGTGGCATGGTTCACTCATGCAGACTCACCATGATGTGACAAGACGGCAACAACAGCTTGAGGATGAGATCAAGCGGGTCAGCGGTAACCAGAATCTGACCAATCAGCAGAAGGCTACTTTGATTAGAGAAAAACACATTGCTATCATGAAACCAGTGAGTGTTGTTGTTGTCTTTTTTTTCCAGAACTGAAGTATGTGATATATTGCTGATGTCCCAGTATGAAAATTCAGCTATCGCAGAATTCATATTCGAATGTTCATAACTCAAGTTGCCTGTTGACCGTTAACTCACTTTTGGGAACGGAAACGTTTGTACCCATTTTTTTTTTCTTTTTTGGACATCAGAGAGGGTTGCTGAAGAATTTTTGCGTTATATTTGCTCTTTAAATGTCTTCTTTGTTGTCTCTGTTTTGCTGCAAGGCCGACGGGTATCCCAAGAAAGTATATTGCAAAACGGTCACGTAATTCCTGTTCCTTCCAGGTTGTATTTGCAATAGAACAGTTGAACAAGATAACTTGTCAAGAACCTGGCACACCTCATGAACAGTGGTTCCAGATGAGTTACAGTAGTGCTATTCAATCAGCACTTGAGTCTCTACAAAATCCACCTGATCCCGCGGACCACAGATCCAGCTGGGAGCCCTTTAAACAGGTTATTCAAAGTCCTTTGTGTGGTCATGTTTATTTGTTTTAGCTTTATAAGAGGGTTGGCTGGGCTTTTCCCAAAGTTTCGGTGAAGGCCGATATTGCTGAAAATAGGCCGCATCTCACTTGAGTGGATACCAGAAAAAGCCAACAAAACTCTGTTAAATAATGGGCGGAGTTCACTGACCGATGGTTCCTCCATTTATACAACTCCATTGAATTATCCAAGAAGCTGACAAGTGACATTCGCTCGAGTCACTTCTGTCTAATGTCTTATTTTATTGGACGTTGCATGTTTGACCTTCTTACGGAAACATTTTCCAGCGCTAATCAACCAGCTTTTGTAAATTGTTTGTCTAAAGCATCCTCAAGGACCCTTTCTCGTCACCTCCTTGGTGTTCTGTTTTTTTCATTTCCAATTTATCATTCCGTCTAAGATAATCTTTCCTTCAGCATCGCCTCTTCTTACATGACCAAAATACAACGAGAACTTCCCCTCACGTCAGTCACTGCACATGTAATCGTCTTTGTTGGTTTTTTATACCTGCAGCTTCTGCAAGCTTTTCAAGCGAGATCACAAAAGCGTTCAGCGTACACTCTACATATGGATGAGATCAGTCCTCCATTATCCAGTATGAAAGGCTCTGCAGTATATATGCCAGGCCAGACACATTTCAGTGGAAAGGTAACATTATTTTGCTTGTATACATGTAGAACAGGACAGAAAGTGGTTTCTAAGCTTTCGCGGTACAGTACTTCATGTCAAATAGGGTTTAAAAGAAATGTTGCAGCAGTTTTGTCCATTATATTTAGTTTTACTTATTATTTGTCAGAAACGTGGTAGTGGCAAGCAGTTACCGTCTGCATGTTGAAATTACAATTTCAGACCAATAAAAACTTCTGCTAAACTCTACCGTTACATCTAATTTTACAAACAACATGAACTAGCTTTCAAAAACTGTTAGGCTGACCAGATTTCAAAAAACCTAGATTTTAATCCATTTGAATCTCCAGTTTTGTCCGTCTAAGGCTTACCTCATTTAAGTGTGTGGGCTTTACGTTCCTCTACAGTCTAAGCAGTTACATAGGTCCATTGGGCTAAATTTTGTAACATGACTCCCTTATTGCTGTTCAACGTTGAGCTAACTTGATTGACTGTTCCTGAGAATCCTATCTGCCCTTTTGAAGGTGATGTAGGACGTTAGCAAAATATCTGAATGACTGTAACTAAATCTTAATACATTTTAATTTTGAATAGATCGTGACCATCGATTCTGTCGTAAGAGATGTGAACATCCTCCCCACTAAAACCAAACCCAAGAAGCTGGTATTCGTTGGATCTGATGGGCAGAGGTGAGAAAACGGATCTGCTTTATTCTGTTTGCATGATTCGATCTGTATTAGCAAGATTTGGACAAATGCTGCAAACAAATCGCTTTCAAAATTTCATTCGTTTTCAAGGTATCTAACCCTTGCTTTAAAACCCACATGTTGTTAACTTTCCAAGTATTCTATATTGCCCGAAAAAAAAAAAAGATATTTTGCTTGTAGCTCGAGTCCTGATTTCAAAACAAAGGATGGATGATGCAATTTTTTCCCCTCACACCCACGACTGTCAGTCCAAAGAGTTTGTTACATTTTTTTTTAAGTCCTAGTGTTTGCTTTCGTCATCGGTGATGAAGGTCAAATTCAAATTTGGTAAAGAATTTCGAAATGAAATGTGCGTGTGAGTTTTATCTTCGATATTCAGTGGTGTGTATAACTTCACTCTCTCTTTATTCAGGTACGCCTACTTATTTAAAGGACTTGAAGATCTTCATCTTGACGAACGAATCATGCAGTTCCTGTCCATCTGCAACAACATGTTTACCAGAGTTGACAGGTGAGAAATTTATTATAAATCGGCGATACTGTCACTTGAGGTTTTAAACCTTGATGGACCACTCTTTCAGCATCCAGATACTCCTAGCTGGAAAAATCAAGTAGATTTAATGCGTTGCATAAACCTATGCACTGATTTCGAATACTTTTACTTATCCTCAACCAGAATTAACAAAACAAATCCAATTTTTAAGGAGCAAATCTCTTTTTTGTTTTCAAGTAGCTGAAAGGCGGATAAGATAAGTTTCATTCCCACGCTTTGTCGTATGCGTAAAACCTACCGCATTGTAGCTCTAAGTCGTTCTGCTATACCAGAAGTCAGTTATTGCTTGACAACTGGCACCTTGAAAGGACTAGCATCTCATCCAGAGGATTAGCGATAATTTATTCCGAGTCGCTTTCTGCTGAAGAAACAGAAACGCTTCAGCGATACTGAGCCACTGGGTTCGTGAGAGTGAATCTTTATGATGACATGTCTTTGCTCTCTTCAGCCACAATTCCCCTCTGTTCTGTGCTCGTCATTACTCGGTGACTCCTCTTGGGCCGCGGTCAGGTCTTATTCAGTGGGTAGATGGTGCTGTTCCTGTGTTTGCGTTGTTTAAACGCTGGCAGCAGAGAGAAGGTGCTTCCGCAGCATTGATCAAAACCGCACAGGTAGGTTCAATGTGAAGGCAGTACAAAGCATTTGTTCTTAATGTAATGAATTTTGGACATCGAGGCTTTTCTTCAGATAAATGATGACTGCTGCGAGCTCTGCAGGTCGTGATATATATGTTAGTTTTTTTAGATTTTAGAATTTATATTGTTAATTGATAAATAATTGTTGATTAGATTAGTGTCCCCAATTAGCTTGTGCTTGTACAGCTAAATAAAGTATTTATTATTATTATATATTACATGCCAACATCACCCTCTCAACCGACCACCCTCTCCTCTCAGCAAAATATACGTTATCATCTCCTTGCAATAGAGTGTGCTATCCAGTTTGGCTCCATGAATTATTGCAAGCATGAAGACGTTTGATGAGCATAAATCCAAAACTTTGAACGTCTTTGCTTATTAACTGAAACTTTCTGGTCACTGTTCTTTCAAATTAGCGTCGAAGTTGAAATTTTATGGCGTTTTTGTGAAATTTCAGGGTGCGAATCCACAACCTCCTCCCCCCATGAAACCAAGTGAACTATACTACAGCAAAATGACTCCTGCCCTCAAAGACAAGGTAAGGCTGTCTCTTAGTCAGGACGAAAACTTATCAATGGTTTGTTTTATTTCAGTTGGCTCTTGCTATAAGAATCACATATTTTCTCATTTACAGGGTATCACAGACCTGAACAGCAGAAGAGAGTGGCCTCTCAGCGTAATGAAACATGTTTTGGAAGAACTCATGAAGGAAACTCCCAATGATCTTCTGGCAAAGTATGTCGCTTCTGTCTTATCGTTACTCCTGCTCTGATATAGTGGTATGAATAACTTGGAAAAAATCACTCAGGTTCACCCTCTTCCACTGATTTGTAACAGACAATTAGCAGTCAAACTCTCCCTCAATTTGAATGATTGAAAAGTTGGAACTCTGTAGAACGTTCTCAAGTTGCCTTGAACTTCGCAGAAGTATTGGTTAGATTTTTCAGCCGGAGGGGTCCAAGTCCAGCGTCTCACTGCAAACGGGAAACATATCATGTTTTTTTTTTTACGAAGGTTTTGGGGGTTGGTACCTGCTCATTATGATCCCCGCACCTGAATGGAAATATTTTAGAAAGTGGTAAAAAAAAAAAATGTACAGATTCCAACATAACTTCTTTATTCAATCACTGATTTTATGAGACATTTTCGGATCTTTTCCAGAGAACTGTGGTGTTCCAGCACCAGTGCAGCAGAGTGGTGGCAGATGACGCAGAGTTATGCTCGGTCCACGGCTGTCATGTCCATGATTGGTTACATTATCGGTCTGGGAGACAGACATCTGGATAACATGCTGGTGGACTTTACAACAGGGGAGGTGAGATATCTTAGTCACTCTTTCCAAATTTTTATTACGATTTTAAGAGGCATAAAGCGTACAAGTCGATTGAAGAAGTGGGGGAGGGGGAGGGAGAGGGGGTTTGGCAGTGCAAGTAAGCATAGCATTATGTTTCAGTCTAAAATGTGAACCTCGTGTAACTTGGCTAAGTGTGCGGGGCACACCAGGTAAACCTACATCAAGGGAATTTTTTGTAAGGAAGGTAAAATGTAAAACTGGTGGGAGTGGACCCTTGGCCTAGATTAAAGAACTTTCTGAAAGCCCGGCGAATGGCTCTGGGATCCCTGGGAAGATGGTCTTTCGCTCAAAAGAACATCTGAAGAGACGGTGTTATGGGCAGATCAGGACCGTGGATTTGTGAACCGGAGTTTCATTTTCAAGTTTCGATGCACTCTGCCAGTCAGTAGGAGTTGCATTTTTCCGGTAGTCTGAGCTTCAAAAATATAAGTTCCATTTTCTTCAGGTACGCTAATACATCGTCATTTGAGTAAGGTGTTTATTTTGCAGTAAATCTTGCTGAGAAATCATCTGCTTCATTTTTTGTTAGGTTGTTCACATTGATTACAACGTTTGCTTTGAGAAAGGCAAAGGACTAAGAGTTCCCGAGAAAGTTCCATTCAGAATGACACCTAACTTAGAGACTGCTTTGGGAGTAACAGGAGTGGAGGTATTATTTTGTTTTTGCGTGCAAAAAAAGTAGTAAGTCGTGTATGTGGGTATGTTTTTCATGTTTTTAGGACTGATCACTGGGCATGAGGAACTTATGTGGCACAAGTTGTTTTTCATATAATATGATTTTCTTGTTCTGCAGTTAACAACTTTAATTCAATTTATTCAGTTTTTTGTGAACAACAGTTGAAAATTTTATTCGCCCTTGAAAATTTGGTATTGATAATTGCGTAATACGAGTTAATAAATTATCATTTCTTGATTCCAATACCGTGGGAAATAATGGTGTTTATCATGACAACGATGGAATTTTCGAAATTCATAAAAGAAACAAACGTTTAGCAATTCTCAACTTATGCTGGAAGACATCGTAAATAAACAGGCACAGTGTGCCGATCTGCGAATGAAAATGTTTTTTTTGTTAAAGGAGCTATGTTACGACATTCTCATCTCAAAAGGTGTTGCTTAGATTTTTCAAGGTAGCTGTCTGCTATCTGTACAAATCTGATCACTCTCGTACCTTTTTGGTTTAAGAAACGGACTCAACGTATCATGGCCCAGCTTCTTTAAAACTGCCTTGATTTTTTTTTCCTCAGGGAGTTTTCCGTCTTTCTTGTGAAGAGGTTTTGAAGATTCTGAAGCAGGGTCGTGAAACGCTGCTCACTTTATTGGAAGCTTTTGTATACGATCCTCTGGTAGACTGGACCACAGCCAATGACACTGCTTTTGCCAGTGCATTCTACGGAGGGGGTGCTCCGGGTGTCACTGACAACAAAATGAACAAGAAGGAGATGGAAAGAGATGTTACACAGAGCTTGTTTTCTTCACGTGTGGCGGAGATGAAAGTCACTTGGACAAACAACAAGTAAGGACCCAAATTAAATGTGACTTTCCTAGAGGTTGAATAACTTTATGTCCACAATGAACTTATAATCTTCTTGCTAAATGGACAGAGCCCATGTTTGATGCATATTTTGACTTGCACAGACAGAGCCTTTCGTGTAGTTGTTATTTGGAGTCGTCTCGCGATATTCCCATAGCCGCTGATCAGAGAATTGTTCGTGTTTCACCTTTCGTATTGGCGACTGCGAAGGAAACCAAAATGGAATTTTTCCAATTATAATATGAAGCGTAACCTATCTTGGGTGGTTTGTATACTTTGAGCATCTGGATAAAAAGCCGATTTTTTTTTTTATCATACTTTAAAGCACTCCCTTAAAACAGGTTTTTCTTGGGTACCTTGTAAATACTTATTTCTAACAGGTGGTTTTAATCTTGAATGAATTAGGGATGAATTGCAGTCTGGCATGACTAAGCTGGATGAACAACTGGACACTTACTTGGCGTCACTGAAGCAGTCGAAATCTCTGGACGTGGCCACTGAAGAACTTAAAGATCAGCAGGAAACTCTACAAGCGGCCATTAGTAATCCTCAACATCCCTTACACATGGTACAGGCCAAGTAAGTGGACTCTAATGTCATTGCCTCTGAAAATCCTCTTTGGGGAAGTAGTAATAAAGTATGTATGTATGTATGCATGCATGCATGCATGCATGCATGCATGCATGCATGTATGTATGTATGTATGTATGTATGTATGTATGTATGTATGTATGTATGTATGTATGTATGTATGTATGATGTCCTTTGAATTTCGTAAACTAAAACCAAAGAAATTACAACGGTCAGTCAGAAATAGAGGTAATTAGCTCAGTACCCAGTGAGAAATTAAAGTGGAAAAAGTTAAACTGCGTAAAGCGTGGGAAAACGCGCATGACCAAGTCGCGATTGCTTCAAGTTTTCCCTCTGATTGGTCGAGACGGTCATGCTAGTTTTCAAGACCAACCAAAATGCGAAACGAAGCAAGCGGACCCGTTCGATCCCGAATTACCTAAGCCACTCACTTGAAAATTGCCCAACCTACGAAGGTCTTTGTTTCCTTCCGTCTTCTTGAGGTAATTACAGCACCATTTTTAAACAATGCATGGTTACGTTTTCTTTCTTAAAGATTCGATGAAAAGAGGAAACTGCAGGCCGACCATGATGCAGTTCTGCAAAGCATCAATGAAAAACTTGCAGAATGTCAACAATGGCAGGTTCAGCACAAGGTTAGAAATATTTCGTTTGTATCAGGGGATGAAAAAACTAAGAGATTGACTCCAATTTGTGTCGGATTGTTTTTATGATTTAAGCAGTTTTGCTCGATTTATTTAGATTTGCGGAGTGACAAAGGTACGCAAAATGGCTTTCCTTCAATCTTTTAAATTTAAGTCAGACGATGCTTGAGTCTTTTAAATTGCTCTTACAACTTTTTTTGTTTCAGGCTGCAATGGGGACTGTTCATGGCCCAAAGCTTGCGGCTCTTGTTGGTGAGGTTTTACAGCCCCTTGATCTAGGTAAGGAAAAAAATACTTGTAACGCTAGCGGTTGATTTGACATTACAATGCGTTACCGTCCGGTTAGTCCGTTTTCCCTTAAGAACGATTTGCTGAAAATAACTGAGTGAAGGTATTCTTGTCTACACGTTCAAAGTCTTGTTAGAGACGGCTGTTGCAAAATAACTAATTTCCTCGCTTACTGTCAATGATCAGGTCTTCCAAGCTTTGCTCCAGCGATCAATTTCCTTCAGGGTGCAGGACAAGGCCACATTGTCAGCCAGGTAAAGATTACAATAATGCGCGTAAAAGCTCCGTTCACTTTCTATGTTTTTGCCCAGAAGTCCTGTACTTTACATCTTTTTTACTCAGGTGCCGTGCCGATAACATTGCATCCTTTATTTTTTTGGTGACATGACCTTTTAATTTGTTGTTGTCGTTTCATTGTGCAGTGCGAGCAGCTTGAAACAGAACTGTCAGGCTTACTTCATCAGGGACGTACCATGTTCCGCTCATGTCTGGATTTGCTGCACACCTATGCTACTGTCACGTCTCTCGTAAGTTGACCTCCTCTTGATACTGAACAGAGAATGTCTTGAAGGTTGAGCTTCAGTTTATTGGTCTGTTTCTCGCAACAGTTGTTTTTAAACCCTCTTCGACTGAGTGTCGTAAAGCTGAAAGCAAAGCGAGCGCGATTACTAGTGATAGGGTAACACCGCATGGAGCCAGCGCGAACTTGAGGGAAGAGGTGATTGGTCTAAGTTTTGAACCTGATTTGATAGGAAGTTAAAACGAATTTAATAATTAATTAATTTAATATTATTAACTTAATATAGCGCCCTTTAACATTAAAATGATCAAAAGCACTTTACATGAATATAAGATATATCTCTAAAACTTAATGTAAAATACACAATTGATACCCCCACCCCTTGGTAATATGTCGTTGCTGAGAATTACTTGTCGTAAGCTAAGCTAAAAAGATGTATCTTAAGTTTCTTCCTAAAAATACTTAATGATGTTATTTCTCGGATATTTGCTGGAAGGTTATTCCATAGTATAGGGGCAGCAGAATAAAATGAGCGGGCTCCTAATGTAGATAACATGCGCCCATTGGGACGCTCCAAAAATAATGACGAATTAGATCTAAGAGAATAAACAGAACACGACTTAATAGACACTAAGTCACTAATATAGCTAGGTGACATATTATATATAGCCTTAAACGTAATAGTAAGAATTTTGAAATAGATGCGGTAAAACACAGATGGCCAGTGAAGGTTATTTAAAACTGGTGTGATATGATCAAACTTTCTAATGATCGTTATTAATCTGGCTGCAGCGTTCTGCACTCGTTGTAGTTTAGTTATATGATACTTGGGAAGGCCATAAAGTAGGCTGTTACAATAATCAAGTCTGGATGTAACAAAAGCATTAGCTAATGTTTTAAGGGATTCCTGTGAAAGGTGTTTAGAAATCCTACGAATATTGTGAATATGGTAAAAAGCGGTCTTACAAACGTGATTTATATGAGTAACCATACTAATTGAACTGTGAAATTTATGGACAAATCTTAGTGGGTGGGGAAGCAAAAGCAGTGCAATCCTTGATTTCTTTCAACACTAATCAATATTTCTTTTAACTAATCAAGAGATGCTGGGGACGTTTAAGAACCCACTCACGAGATTACTGTGATGTGGTCTGGCCTGTTTATGTTACGGCGCATTTGAATATATATACATAGAATTTGCGCCTTAGAAGTCAATAAATTATTATTAACACTCAGTAGATGATCACTCTATACCGTTATTAATTCCATGAACGTATCTTCCCCGTATCAAGTTTGCAACAAGTGTCAAAATCTTATGTGGTAATCATTGTGTCTTGCAGTTTCCATCCGATTATGTACAGCAGAACAGAAGCTTTGAATGGCAGAGTTGGCTTCAGTCTTTGGTGGAAGATTCCTCAACAAAGAAGTATGATTTTACTCTTGTATCAATAACGAAATGATTATTATCATGGGACAACAATTAGAAAAGAAAAGTTTGAAATTATGAGATTAGTGTCGTGTTCTCCCAGTAGTTGTGCAGACAGCCTCTAGCCTCTAGTCTTCCACGTTTATATTGAAGAAAAGAGCAATAATAACAAACTGCTTTAAGGGGGAAGTACTTGATGGCGCGGGTGAGGCTGGAAAAAGCCTTACGGTCCTCCGAGATGCGAGTTGAAAGAGGAAAAAAAAGGAAGATGAAGAATGTTTGTGTTATGATGAAATGGGAGTTGATAGTGTTTGGTAGGGTCGGACAGAAGTATTTGGACCTAAACCATGAAGCCAAATTATTTCCCGTCGGCCCTTCAACGCGGTCATTAAGTGCGTTATATTTTCAACAATAGTTTACTGGGTATTAAATCAAAGGTGTAAGGAGAAGCTAATGGTTAATGGTTAAAGAGCGTATGTTCTTTTTCTTAGATGCCAGGAAGTTATAGAGGAGAGTGAAAAGCTGCACAACAAACCTGTCGCCGACAGTCCTCTTACTTTGGCTGAAGTGACCGGGTTTATGGCCATGGAAGTGAAATTACAGAGCAGTTTGACAGAACAGAATGCTAAGTTTATTAAGGTACGTGGGTCCGTGAAGTTGGTATATTTGGTATATTAAACTTCACTTGAAATGGTTCTGGTGAAGTTGAAACTATATGAATAGCATTTTAATAACTTGTTATGGAAGTGAACGTTTCAGGTTATTTTACAACACGGTACAGCCGTTAATCAGGGTATGACTCGTGATGTTTGTGAAATCTGATTTGTTTCTTGCACAGTTCTCTGAACGTCGAAAACAAGAGAGTGTCGAGACAACATTCCTAAGTAAGGCTGTGGGTGAAGCTTATGCTGCCCTGAAAAAGTACATTACAGGTAAATTGTGCTACAGTGTTTTCAAAACACCCGGAAAAGCTGTTTAGTTATGGGGATAGTTTTGTGCCGGCTATAGGTGTCCTTTTAATCTTTAGTCCCTAAGAGTGACTGGTTTCTAAATTTCTCTTTACACTACAGCCCTTGAATTAAATGTGAAGGTTATAAGAATAAAGGAAATGATCACCAATTTAAGAAGCTCCTGATTGACAAACAAATTCCCCTCATTAGTATCAAAGGTAACGTAAAGCGAACCATGTGGAGAATATGGATATTAATGTTAGGGTGTTAAGGTTATTACATACACTTACTGATGACATCAACTGGGCTGAACCTTTTATGTGTTCAAACAGACCATGCTATCGCTGATTTCATCTCCATTGTTAATTATAACATAACCAAAGTAAAGCGCGCGCTCTGATTGGTCAATTTAGCGTCCCCCATTTGCCCATGGGTGTACGCTGCTGACGTGAGCAAATGCAAAGACTATTTTTCCGCGCTTGCTTGTTTTTTTTGGCCACGTAAGATTTGTTAATTAAAAGGGAACTCTTTAGCTTTAATGCATCAATGTTATGTTATAAAACAAATGGTAAACACCACAGCGTACACTACTGAGTTATGGATGCGCTTGGGTGGTTTGCTAAGCACTCAAGAAGCTAGAGTCGCTCTCGGCTATCGTCTCGAGCGACTCTTACGCTTCTTTCGTGCTTAGCAACCTCCCGCGTGCATCCATAACTCAATAGTGTACGCTGTCGTCTTTACCATTTGTTAACGAGTGCATTGAGTCCCATCTCATGTTGTGATTTCTAGGGAAGCAGCCTGCGTCCTACCGTTGTCTTACTGGTGTACTGATTACTGCGTTGTGTTCCTTGAACAAGAGGTGTCTGGCAATGGAGAAGACAGCCAAAGGTAAGGAAGGCCAGGAAAAAAAACTGTCTTTGGCTTTAAAACGGATTTTTGTTTTCTTCTCTTCTTTTACGAAAGTCTGCATCGTTGGATTTCCAAGCAACAGTAATCTAATTTACTTGTTACACGCCACTTGATTACCTGTTGTGCGATGACATAGATAGCAGGGCTGCTGACTGTTCTATTTATTCAATGGCTGATGAGTAATAAGTTTAGTTTTGTTTGAGCGAACTTTATAGACCTGATTGTGTGTGATTTTTATTCATCAACCTTTAGTTAACTATTATGTCAGAGTTCAGTGTTCTTCGGGTAAATTTCTGGTAACTGCTACTTACCTGGATTTTTGTCTGATTCATTAGTCTCATTTTCATTGATTAGCCAAAAACAATGATTTAAAGTTGTACTACTTTTTCCTTGTTGCTAATAGTCGCCAAAGACAGATTATCTGATCTCACATCAAGAGAAGGAGACTGGTTTCTTGACGAACTGTGCTCCATGAGCGGGAATGTCAATCAACTATTATTGTTATTGAAGGATCATCAAATGGTAATGAAAACTATCCTTTGGCTGAACTATTTTCTTCCCAGAGTTGTTGAGTGCTTGAATTCTTCTTACTCTTCTAGTACACTCTCGAACCTTTTGGTTTTGAGAATTTTGATTATCATTTGACAAATATTGCGCAGATGTTACTCCAAATTCACGGGGGAAGCAACAAAGAAACAGATTGTCATCAGTTGGCAAATTGATATTCACATCTCGGGAACGAAAGGTTTAACGTAGTGTTGTGTTAGAAAACATCCGTTCCCCTGTAGAGAGGGTTTTTTTGGTCCGAGCTCAGAAAAAATGGACTCTCTTAAAACACCAGTTTCTAGTATGGAAAATTTGTGTGGTAAGAAAACTTCACCTAACGGCAGTAGCAGCACTTAAAGCTCAAAACTAATTCACTCAACAGGAGGTAAAAGACAACCAGCAGGCCATTCTTGGACAAGCACAGTATTCCATGAAAGCTGTTTTAACAGTGCAGAGGGTTTTTTTGGCTTTACAGGTATATCACTATCTTGAAGATACTTAAGCACCTAAATGCTGTTGAATGTTTTTTGTTTGTACGAGTATGGAAGAGGCAGTGGTCTAGAGGGGCTGGACTCCGGGATCGATGGCCAGGTCGTTGATGTGTGTTCATCGGCAGGGCTTTTTTGCTCAACCCAAGAATTTAAGATAAGTACACTAGCAAACTTGACAAAGTGCGTTGGACTAGCATCTATTCATGTGGAAATAGCAGTACTCCTTAGAGTCTCCTCATGGTAAAAAAAAAACAAAACAAACAAACAAACAAACAAACAAACCAAAACGGTTTAAAGTTCGGGTTAGATTCAAATGTAGACAATGTTACGCAAACTACTTGGGTCGCTGATACAGTGTCTTTCTGATGCTTTGTTCGGCCTTAGGCCACTTGTTATCTGCTCTTCCACCGCCCTGTCAAGTTTGCATTTGAAACAGACTCGCACCCAACAGAGATTGGCTTCTTAGTTATATCTTAAAAGGTAGATCGCTGAAAATGCTGATCATGGTTAGTTATGATGAAAAATGCACCAATGAAGTAGGGAAAAAAAAACTAGTTCGAATAAGAACATACAACAGTGGGGATGAAGCCAGTTTTTTTCAAGTCTTTAAGTTACGATGATGATTTAATTTTCAGGAGCTGATGACAAACTTCAGGACAATCATTGTCCCAGAAGCATTCAAGAGCATCTATATTGAAGACCCGAGTGTGTTTACTGTAATACAACAGGTTCAGACTGTGGCTCATACACAGAAAATAAGTTTGAGAGAACTTGCCGAGAACGTAGAAGCTCGTCTTTTGGAAGGACACATCTCTAATGAGACGGCACAGGTGAAGGAAACATTTTACTGCACTAGAAAATTTCTTGAAATCTTTCCTCCTGCCTCTCATCTCTTTAGTCTACTCAATGAAATCTGTGGAAAAAGCTGCCTGAGTCTCTTCCTTTACCTAAATCTCTTCCTTTACGTAGCCCTTTACGTAGCCAGGAAGCAATTTCTCCTACAAAATAAATGTATTGTCAACGAGAACAGTGATGAGAAAAAAAGGAAAATTTCAACTAGGAGATTTCGTCAGAGTTAACACCAAATCTTCAGGGCGAAAATCGTAGGATATGTGTGGCAGATTACAAGGATTGATGAAGAGATCTTGCGAAAGAGAGAGCGTTAGCTCCCGTGTGATAATTACAGAATTTACCCTCGTATTTTTTTTATGATATCGTACAGAAAGGAAATGAAATCGAAGAAAATTATCAAGTTAAGTGGACTGTTTGTGTGGGACACGAAGTTCTCATAATTAGCCAATAAAGAAATGTCTTTTCATCAGTTAGGAGAAGAAGCTTTTAGATGTTTCGGTTAAAGTTACAAGATCACCGCCGAATTCACTGTCGCTGTTTCTTTCGTTATAGAAACACAGCCCAGAGGAAGTTGATGCAGTAATTCAAGAGTTGCTTACGCAGTTTGAGAAGCTTCTGCTGACCAGCAAAATATCTGGCTCTGACTCAGGTACAGCACATTTATCGATCGAGGGTTTTCAGCTTTGTAGGTTCGAATAACGAGTTTGTAATGGATAAAAAAAACCAGCAATTGTACATGCAAATTGGGTTTGTAGCTACTGATATCGTGTCTTCGTGTCTTGTTTGTAGCTCTCTATCGTGTCATGTTTGTAGCTACTGATATCGTGGTATCGTGTCTTATAAACTTCTCCTTGGTATTAAGTCATTGACGGAAATAATAATAACAATAATAATAATAATAATAATAATAAAGGTCTTTACTAAGAATTATTGTGCAACAGACGTGCAACAATTAACATGAATAGAATGAATAAGGAAAAGGAAAAGGTATTAGTTACTATTGAAAAGACATCTATCAATAAAAACTGATTTAAAACGGCTTTTCTGAACCGTAGGTAAAATATAATTATGCGACCTAGTTCTCAACTGCCGGGTTCTCTGGGGAGGTAAGAGATCGCTCAACGCAGTGTTGGTGGAAGAGATCCTTTGGCATAATTTCTTATAAATATCATGCACCATGGAGAGACATGAAATTAAAAGACCTGAGTCAGTTACTTCTGTTGCGCATTTTGGTCGCCAAAGATCAATTCATGCAATATACTCTTAGGTATTGAGTGAGTGTAGGTGGTAATAAATGTTATCGAAGGGGATATGACTGTCGAAGATATGAATCGAGCCAGGCCTCATGATCAACCTAATGATTAGCGCGTTAGACATCGGGCGGATTGAAAGTCTAGGTCTGTGCTAAGGCCAGGGTCATTCTGTTGTTTTCTTGAGGGACAAACGTTTCTCGCATCTCGCAAAGTGCTTCTCTCCAGTTAGGAGTATAACGAGAAGCTAACAAACTGTCGAGAAACCTAGCTTGACTAAACTATAGAGGATAACCGTTTGCTGGACTTGCTTCCCATTCATGGGAAGTCTAATACTCCCATTTGCTTCATGCAACAGAAACTGGCATGAGCATTAGCAGCTATGCCAGTCATTTTGGTATGTAAGGCTAACCCTGAAATGCTTTGTGAGCTAATCTTATTGTGTATTATTAGGTGAGGACAGCAGTAGTACAATGACATCTGGACAGATGCTGTTGGCTGGATTCAATGGTCTGTTTACCAAAGTTGCTAGTGAACTGTCGGACATGTTTACAGCTTTTGAGCGAGTTCACTTTGACAAGCGCGAGTTAAAGTTTGACGTAGTACGAGATGCACAAAATCTCCAGGTGAAGATCCTTTCATTTATGTCATTTCAGAATACTTTGAATATATATATTTTTTCAACTTTTGTCAACTTTTCAATTATGCTTTGACTTCATCTGGCAGGTAACAAACAGTGCAAAAAATGCTGAACTCCTCAGCAAGTTGTTCTTTCTCAAGAGGCTGGAAGTCATCATCTCCTTCTTCAAAAGCTGTAGACTGGTTACCTTGACACTAAAAGGTAATTTGTTACCTTTAAATAACAACCATATTGTATATTAGTTATCGTGAAAGGCTAGTTTGAGATGGTCTTTCCTCTGCATTTATAAAGTGTGAAGCCTTTATGCTCTAATATATTAAATCATGTATTTTCGTTTCAGGTGTGTCTCACTCAGGAAGCATGCCGGGTGCTGCAAACTGCACTACTGAGCCGTCGACCGACTTGTTTACGAATTCGGACAGCGGTCATGGTGAGAGCAAAGTCTGGAATCCCGACAAGTGCTACAGTGAAGATGACCTAGCAGTACATGTGAAGCATTTTATCGCTGATTGCGTGCAGCAGTGCATTATGGGCTTGCCGTCCCAGGCTCTGGCTGCGGTGATTATCAAGTTCGCCATAATATTGGGAAGTAAGGGAGACAAAGAGGTTCTCAACGAGGAAGGTGTTGTTATACTGGAAGATTATTGCAAGAAGGTGTGTAGGATTTAAGTAAAGTGTACGAGTGAGTGGAGGTATCGTATTTTAGTGAGAAGTTTCACTGTTCATATTTATCAACAGGACTCACTTGTTTTTCTTTTTTGTATTGCAAGGTTGTTGATGGCAATGTTACCAGTGGAATGATTAAGTCGAAGCAACTCTCGCAGATTACAAGCTTGACAAGTTCTTATGACGTAGCCTGGAGAAAACATGACTTTGCTAAGTACGAAACTAGATTTTTGCTACACTTTGAGCGCTTGACGTGACCAGCATCTAACTTCTCCTTACTAGAGCACCTCTAAAACACACATTAAGGTCATGAGAATAAAGAAAATGCTCTCGATCTGAAGAGGCTCTTGATTGTTTAACAAATTCTCCTTGTCAGCACCTTAGGAAATGTATAGAGAACAGTATGGAGAATATGCATTCTGATGCTAGTGTGTGAAGGGTATGCATCATTGAGTTAATATTCTGGAGGATCGGAGTGTTTTAAGGGATCCTGCAAAACCCGATCGCAAATAGAAGAGGAGGAAATAACTGTTGTGATTCGTTTTATGTGAGGTTCAGGTGTTTATGTTTGTGTTTTTGGGAAGGATGACTTATGAAATTGAGATTGACATCGGGTGAAAGTAAGGTTTATATACGAAACTTGTTTATTAACACTGAAAACACAATTCAGAGTCCCAAATCCTTTTGTCAGACTTCTGTGGAAGGGAGTTAGTCTTCCTAAACAACGAACCTATTGTTTTCCCGCGCCACAAGTTTTATGACTCTGTTTAATGTCTGTGTGTCTGTTTCTAGACGTCTGGATAACAACATGAACATTTACAAAGGTGTAGTACAGCGGGCTCAGCTTCAACTGGCCAGATTTCAGGTAGAGTGCGGCTACAGTTACAATTTTTTTAATGACTACTGACGTTTTTAAACGTCGACATGCACTGTTATGATGTAGTTGTTGAGTAATGAATTATCTTAGAAGTATGTCCATATTCCTTTTTGCTCCGGCCTTTTTAGTGGCTGTACGAAGATAATTTGCTGCAATGTCCGATGCGTGGAAGCAGCATGATCACACCAGCACGAGCTACCATTATGGCGGACCTCAAAAAGGTTAGGCTCATCGTATTAAGGAAAGAAACGCGTTATTTTTCGATAGTTGTATTTCTTCTTGTGCGAGATATGCATAGAAGTAAGGCATGACGTTTTTCAGACACAAACAACGAGCGGAATTAGATTGCAATCACAAAGGGTGCGCTGTAATACAAACTAATCAATTAGGAGGCCCTCGTTTTAGCATTTTAAACTGAACGGTACACACAACTGATGCATAGCCAGCTTCATGTGGCTAATCACAACCTCAGTTAGTTGTTGTTTTTTTTTTCTTGTGTGGATAGTTGGAACTTTTTTTCACTTTACTTGATGACGTGCATTCGCAGTTGTGAGCGACAAGAGAGAATTTCGAGATAAAGACTGCTAGAGGTGTTGATTTCGAAGAGCTGTGGTCTAAATGACCGATGACGGTTGTTATTTTCTTTCTGTAGCGTGTCCAAGGTCTGATTCATATGGATTCGGTTGTGAAAGGCGTGGAAGAGAAGTTAGCCGCTCAGGAGTCGAGTATTGAACAACGCCTCAAGTGGGCAGCCGGAGCAAACCCTGCATTGAACCCAGTGCTACAGAACTTTGAGCAAACTTTAGCAGCTAGAAAGATGCTGATGACAGTAAGTTAGAGCGGTTTTCGATTCACAGACGTAAACCCAACACCAAAGGTCATGACAAAGGCCAATTAGAACAAAGTTGAACATTTTAAGGAGCCAATGAGAACTCAAAGATGGTACACGCGGTTACCGACCTCCAGCGCGGGAAAACGCCATTGACAAAGTCGCGATTGGCTTTAGTGTTGCATCTGACTGGCCGATAGAGAATGGGTGGTGCGAGTTATTTTCTCGACCAATCACGGCGCGCAGTCGGGCAAAACTACGGCAATCCCGGACTACTTTCGACACCACCCTTCTAATAAGAATTTGACAACCTAGATCTCTGTTGAGAAGGGTAGATGACTCTCGGCGTCGTCAAAAAGGCTCTTCCACGCTTTGCACGTGTTTCTCTCACTGCATCTCTTTGGTTTTTTTTTTTTGTAGGTGGAGAGTAAACATTCTTCAGATATCTGCAGCTTGTCAAATGCCATACTACACTGCGAGGCCTTACGAACACACACAGCAGACGCTCTTGGCGTGGACAAAGTCATGACAACTTTGATCCAAAGGTACTTTCTATTCCTTATTGCTTTATTCTTGTTGTCAATGCTAGTTAGTTGATAGGGCTCTCCTTTAGGACACTTTTGTTTGTTATCTCAAAAGAATTTTTTTTATTGTGTGTATTGACAAATTTTAGCAGAGGGTCGCAGCGCGCGCGAAGCTCATACCACTGATAGTTATGATGATAACAATGAAAATGTTGATGACACTGACGACTACGCCGCTTCGCGTTGTATTTGTCCTCTGTAGGCTGTTTCGAATTACTCAGGTTTCCTCGATCTATTTGTGAGTAAGTTTCTCCGAAGAAAACCCGGTAAATTTATTTCGACTAGGCTACTTACGACGTCACCTCGCTAAATTACTCATTCTCTTTGGTGAATGCGTTCCTTTTTGCTTCAACCCATCGCATGGACCATTTTCTGCAACAATCAACTTATTTAGAGATGTACAATCATCACGAATCTCTCGTTGATGAATCAGGTGTCAACAAAGTTCTGCTGAGATAGAGAGTTGTTCCGAGAAACTCCATGACGTGACCGAGGTAGCAAAGAAAGTGAAAGTATCGTATCCACCAGAGGCGCCAATCACTCTAGACTGGATGAAGAACAAGTTGGACACTGTGGGACAGGAGATGGCGTCCTTCAAGGCGAGAAAGACACAAGTCGGTCAGGCTATCATGGCTAATAGAGTAAGTAACTGAAGTGATGCTGAAATAATGATTATTATGAACATGGATTCAAAAACTTCAAATGGTTTGTTGAACTTAAAAATCAACAAATGGTAGACACCACAGCGTACACTGTTGAGTTATGAATGCACGCGGGAGGTTGCTAAGCACGAAAGAAGCGTAAGTGCGCGCGGAAAAATAGTCTTTGCATTTGCTCACTTCAGCAGCGTACACCCATGGGCAAATGGTGGACGCTGAATTGACCAATCAGAGCGCGCGCTTTACTTTGGTTATGTTATAAAAAAAGTTTCTTGAGATTTCTAATTTCGCCATTTGTAATCTGCATCTTCCTTTTAAAGCCTCAAACGGTTTGTTTTGAAAAGTTGTTGCAATCAATTGAAAGTTGGTTATCTGTAATCTCTTCGTCCTTTTTCGATTTTGGAAAATTTTAAAACTTTTAAACGGTTTGTTCAAATAATAAAAAAATTGGCTTAAAATGTTTAGGTTCGCTATTTTTAATACGTTGCTTCCTTTTCGGTCTCGGTGAAGTTTTGCGTCACTAATTGTTGTCTTCCTCTAACTTAGTTACGCGGTTTTCTTTTATTTGAAGGCAATTTTATTCATGAAAAAAAACGTCTCAAGAATCTTGCCATAGCTCTTTAACATGCTTCTTGAGAACTTTCCCGTTGTGAATCAGCAGAGCACGTAACACTTTGCTGTTCAAATGCACGTTATTTAACTGTTTAGACTAGTTTGTAATGTTACTTCTCTTTCGTGTTTTAAAGGACTCGATCAAGTTGCAGGCAAGCTCGGTGAAAACTATAATGGTGGCTCATCAACAGCTCATTGGTGATGTGAAGTCTATGTTGACTACAATGGCAAAGGTGAGACTCAGCAACTTTATTACTTGCAGAGCAACAAATTTGATTTATTCATATGTGGGATAGGAACTGTAGAACTTGCTTTTCCTTACTTTCCTTTTAACGCTTTGTTTTCTCAGGACGAAGAAGCAGCAGAATCTCGCCAAGCCAAGCTGTTTATTTCCACTCATAACCGCCAATCGGAAGAGTGTGCGCAGCTGATTAAAAGCATCCTGGCAGGTAACTGAATAGGCGCGTGTACTGCCTGCTTTATAGTTGTTTTTAAAACAAGAAAGCACTTGTCAATGAATGATTGAAATAAGAATTTGAATCAATAAGAGTTCCGCTATGTATCAGCAAATTCTTTAGCGTATGTTAAGAGACATGTAGAGCAAACGTAGAGAAATGCTGTTCGGAGCTTGTGGCAAGTAAGATGTTCTTGTCTTTTTCAGTTTGTGGAGGAAAGATCAGTGATGGCAAAGATCATATAGAAGATAACATTGCCGACATTAAGTCCATGGTGAAGTCCATCAAGTCTCTAGTTCAGTGGTGAGTTACTTTGGGTTTAACCCATTAGCTTCTAATTCTTTCCTACAATTGAACCCCCAAATCAAATATTATGTCAAGCGAATATAGAAAATGTTAAAGTAAAGAAGCTCTTGATTGTTAAGCAAATTCTCCTTGTCAACACCAAAGCAAATGCATAGAGAACACTATGGAGAATATGCATACTGATGTTAGGGTGTAAAAGATTGAATTATTTGAGTCTTTGTAGCAATCAGTTGGGTTACTTCCTTGGATGATAGAGCTATTCACCTTAACCTTTTTTTTGGGGGGGGCAGGGGGGGAGGAGGAGGGGTTGAGATAAGGCTTTTAATCTCGTATTGGCACAAAAGTCACTTATAACACACCAGCGGACAAATCAATGAATGTGGCTCCCTCTCTCCAGTTCAAATGACTATTAGGGAATGAAAACTGACAGAACTACAGACACAAATCTTTGAGTAGGTGAAGATCCAAAATTAAGCGGATTCCACGTGTCACTCCAGCTGGAATCGAATACTGAAGAGTCAGAAATGGAAGTAAAGTCAACGTTGCCGTTAATATCAAACCCTGGATTTTTTATTCTAGGGTTCATGACCATCTTTTGTCACTGGCATCACCACTTGTTCCGGACGAGTCAGGCGCCAGTGGAGGGAAGACGCCCATTGCTGCTCCTCCTCCCACCTTTGCGTCAGGTATGTCTTCAGTATACTGCACGAGGAGCCTGAAATCGTGAAGATTCCCACTACGCATAGTTTGTCGAAAAACAAATATTATTAATCACTTTTGGTCTGAAATCGAACACAGATTTGAACCATCGGGGTTTGAAGTTGGGCGACACACTGGAATTGAAAAGGTTTGGGAGCAGATACAACTCCTTTTGATGTTATCCGGGTCTGAACGAGGATGGAGAAAAATCCTTTTAAGTTTGAAGTTGGGTATTGTTTTCAGGAAGCATGCCGCCCCTACCCACGCGTGAAGTTTCCCACCCAGAGGCTAACGTTACGTTGAACTATCTAATCTTAATTCGGTTCCTAATCCTCCAGCCCTTCGTCAAGGTAGCGGGTCCATCACGCCGAGTAGTAAGGAATCTGGATCATCGGATGTTGGTTCTCCTCACCCAGTTATCTTACAAAGAGACATGACAGCGAGCCCTTCAGGTGCTAGTTCACCAACTGCTTCTTCCAGGGTCATGGCAGTTGCAAGTCCCAGAAGAATTTCATCGGCTAATCTGGCGAGAGATCCCAGAACTGGCAAAGGTAGAAGAAACTCATCTCTCATTTGCGGAATGTGTTTTATACTCACGGGGCGTGTTTTTCATTTACTACCTTTCCAAGCTACATGCGTGCGCGAGCACGCAATGAAATGAAACAATTACTATAGTTAGGCAATTGTCTTTGTTTTGCTCGGTTCAAGATTTCATTCATTCATCTTAGTTGAGCGTAATGGTTCAGAACGCGACGCGCACTCAGTCGACCTTATCGCCTTAAAAGGACCGTAATGTACAGTGGAAATATGGTAACCTTCATCGGAAAAGACTACATCGCGAGACAAAAGATTATACCACAACCTTTTTTTTACGAGTTCATCCACGGTTTGGAATTGTTCATGTTTTACCACCCGCTCTATAGAGCACGACTCTGACAGTCTTGTTCTCTGTTCTGGTTTACAGCTCTTCAGGAGAGGAACACGTATGCGATCAGTGTGTGGCGACGAGTTAAAGCAAAACTGGAAGGTAGAGATCAGGATAACAAGAAAATGTCCATTGCTGACCAGGTAATGAAAGGACCAAAGATAAAGTTCTGAACTGAGTTAAAGTACCTCGTCTATAGCTTTAGAGGGTAGGTGCTGTAATAGTATCAAAAAGAGGAGCAGATCGAGAAACAATTTCTCAAGGCACCTAACAACAGAACACCGACAAACGGGTGTGTCGATCGGACAATTACTGAAAAGGGAGGGGGGAGATAAGGGAAACACAGCCGGTAAGGCAAACTTTAGCACTAGTCAATGCCCCTTCCCTCCCCCTCCCCTCCCCTCCCCACTCCCCATATAATCAATGTGGAAACTCTTGTTCATCAATTAGAATATCTCCTGTCTGGACACAGTTCAATTCTCTGATTTCTATGATAGATATCGTATAATTGTGTTGTATTCTTACTTGTTTAAGGAAGATTCAAGTTCTTAGTGGCCACTAAGCAAGTTTGGAGCGTTAAAATCACATTTGCGCCTGTATTCTGTTTGATTATGTAAATGTTTCCACATAGGTTGACTTCGTTATTCGTGAATCCCGAAGTGTGGACAATTTGTGTCAGATGTATGAGGGATGGACTGCATGGGTGTGACGTCATCAACATGGAAGCAGCTGTCAATATGAGTATGATGCACTTCAGTAGCAAGAGCTAACAAGGACCAACCACAGCCATCTTCGTAGCATCAAAGAAAGCCGTGAACACGTTCGGCAGCTTTACTAAGGCTACATACTGCCATGTAGCTAACAACAACAACAACAACAACAACAACAACAACAACAAGTATTTATCATTCAAAAGTAAACGGCAGGCCGGCGACCTTGCCTTAATGATGCTTGCACAACTAAAAAAAGAATTCAATTGTAATGGCGATACATTGTATGTGGTTTGGCGCGCCGCAAGCTTGGTTTAATTCTGTTCCTGGCGTTTGTTATGCCTTTGGTATAGAGAGGGAAAATTAGGTAGATCACACCTCTTGGCTTTGTGAATTTCAAATCCACCATTATTCCATTTTGCTAAGCAGAGGCACTAAAAGCAAAGTTTTGAGAAATAATCAATTCCCTGGAAGTTAAAGAATCTAGAACTAAAGTTGTTGCAAAGTCTGTTGTCTACATCATAGATCAGAAAAAAGACTAACAAAACCTAAGATAGTGATTTGAAGAACAACAATGAACTATAGCTCCTTAGTTGTCCTTTCTACATCCGAGATTGCATAGGTGCATTAGTGATTGTAAGGTAGCACAAGCAACCATTTAGACCATCTGAAAAGGAAGCCTAAAAAAAAAAAACCCGCGGTTTTCGTTAACTATAATTGTTAAAGTACCTGTAACTGGTAAGTTAAAGGATCTTCAGCAAAATTCAAGAAAGATCAACTAAACATTCCAAATGTAAGGAATGTTACGTAGAACCATTTGCTGTAGGGTAGGTATTCGAACGTAGTTTGGTAGACATGCTTCTGTCGAGGTAAACTATATCTCCTCCGGTGATCTTAACTTGTGAGAAGCAACATAGCGTGATAGCAGCACGCTTGCATTACTTCACCAGAGTTATTTGACCAGCACAGTTCGTGCTGCAAACGTCCATCAACCAGCAAGTTTGGTGAATTTCTTTTTGAGCTTCGTATTCTTTTAATTCGTATAAGATGTTTTTTTTTTTGTGTCGATTTTATTTATTCTTGATTTGAGGCTTAACGCTGTTTACTTTTCCTTCGTTGTATGCCAGTTAGTGTTTCTTTTCTTGTTCGAGGAATTTTTGAAAAAATGTAACTTACAGAGTGACCTTGCAGAATTAGCACTGTATGCTTGTTATGCTTTATCGACAATTTGGTTGATTTTTAAGCCTATGAGAATGCATCTGAGAAACTGCTCAACCCCGCCCCCCCCCCGGAATAATATGAATATTATTCCAGAGGGAATTCTTCACAATTATCGTAAGAACATTCCTGTGTAGAAGGTCTCTATTGTATTAAGGAAGACCAATCCTTTTGTTCACCGGAAAAACGCGAAAGTAATTTGCGAGATACGTTTTACTTTCCTCTCGGAGACCAGTCTCATTGAGGCGATAGAAACAACCGGGGGAGGATCCGGTCGGTTAGCTTGTTTTTCTCTTGTTCCGAATCTTTTCGAAATCGTCGCCAAAAACTAAAGAAATGTATTCCACATCTATTAATTTAACATCTATTGCAGATTTTTAAGCCTCAATCAGAGGATAACTCTACCATCCCTTCAAACTGAAGAGTCTTCAAATTTGTTACTTTCAGTTTACCCAACTTTACTGAGGTTACCTAGGGCATGCAGTATGAATTGTCAGCAGTAAAAACCTGTAATCGTGGTTAAAACATTAGCTCGATTTGTGCCCGACTAGGTTTGTAGGTTTTTAATCTCTAGCCCGAATATCGACTCTGTTGTGGTCCCTTTGTTTAGATCCTCACTGGGACCTTGTCTAATATGACCCTGGTAGGGCTTGTGGTGTTGGGTATTGTTGAACGCTATTTTTACAGTTGTGATTTTGACTTTGTCGTGTTACTGATAGCAGATGACAAACTCAGTTTCTTTTCGTTTTTTGGTAATTTTTTTCAGTAAGACTGAGGACTTGAATTAAACAAGTTTACCGTTGAAGTTTTCCCTTTGTCCTTCGCCAAATTATGTCAAACTTACGATATTTACTGCCAGAGATAAACCAAGTACTTAAGCTGCAATTCTATTCTTGTTGAGCATTTCATCTTTGAATTAACCGTTATATTGTGAACCGTTTGACTCGTTAATTTCTTCATTATATATGCTAATAAAATGTAACCAAAAACAAATGGCGTCCGTGCCTCTCCTGTGTCTGGGTCATTATGCGTCATCCTCAGGCTATTTTATTTGGTGGGTCAGCTAATATTGAGTTCCATCACGCATGCAGATACGCATTTCGGACGCAGTTTGGTGGGTCTCCGTAGCGCATGCAGATACACCTTTCTGTCATACTCTGGATTTCATACTAGGGGTCTTTCATAGACTCTTTTTGGCCCTTTAACATTTAAGAGTGTCTAGCATCTAATTTCTCTATACATTGTCAATACTGAATCAAACATGATGTTAGAATACAGGAATTGGCCATCCAATCAAGAAGCTTTTGACTGATTAATGCTCCTTGACAATACCAATGAAAAGGAATACAAAACAATATGGAGACTATATTTACTGATGTTAGGGTGTCAAGGGTTACCTTTTAGTATAGTAGAGATGACCATCACAGTGCAGACACTTGTTTTCCTGTTCACACATGGTGATTAAATGCATTACTGGCAAGTCAGTTTTAATTGGTCAGTTCAACATGATTGGAATTCGTTTTAGCCATGTGCAGGGCCAGATCCACTGAACTTGTCAAAAACATGCGACAAAGACAACTGTAGTGCTTCGGAGCTATTGCACCGGCTGGGTTATTTTCAATCGGTCTCTTCGCTGATTAAAATGTCGGACGACGCATCTCACTTCCTTAGTTTTTACCATTATTTTACCCGGGCTTAGTTGGCAATTTCGTTTTTCAACACTAGCATCAGTTGATTAAAATCGCTAAGGGCGATACCCAGTTCCCTATTTTTCCAAATAGAGATCACCATGTTCTCGTTAAGTCTTTTTTCTTGGGAGCCGCGCTCCCTCCTTTATTTTCGCCTCCATTCAAATCAATTTTAAATTTAAAATGGTGATTATAAGAACCCAAACTATCGATAGTAACAAAATCCTTTACAGAGTTCAGCCCTAACGCGGGAAGCTTCGTTTGGAAAGTGTTCATCAACCTCGCTCCCAGGATTTTATTCTCAAGACTGACTTTGCACGTGTTAATCCCTCATATAATTTACATTCTGCAATTCCTCGTAGTCTGAAACGATCAACTTTTCTGGGGAAAAAAATCTGCTAAACGTAGCCGGGAAGCATCGAGGAGATACGTTCGCATGAAGACTTGACAAGAACTGACAGCTAGCCACTAAGTTGATAACAGAACACACGGTAAGCAAAATGATAGATTGAATTCAACTTGTTGTTGTAGGATTCGCGTCATTCCTGATTTAAAGTTTAGAAAATTCACAAGTTTGCCGTTAAAGAATCTCGACACTCAGTACGTACTTAAATCTCCGTTTGAGGAATGGTAGAAAATTTCGTCAAAGAACAGTGTGAAACTGAACTTTGTAGAGGCTTTGTCTTAGGACAGAAATTCTTCGCTCAGCGGCGGTTAATTCAAACTTTAAATGAATGACTAGGGCTATGTAAGAACCTGTAAGAGAGATTTACGTCAATAGTCCATTTTACAGTTGTGTGCTTGGTTGCCAAGCCTTTGAATGGGAGTGAGGCTAGAGATGACCTTGTTATGATACAAACCTTGCGTCTTTCAAATGTAAATCATTTTGTTATCATGCTAAGTAGATACAGGTCTCTATCACAACAAGGTCATCCTTAGCCTCACTCTGAATCAAAGGCTTGGCTACTAAGTACAGAACTGAAAAATGACCTACTATAATAAAAAATATATTTGACATACCCTCTTGGGCATAATAAATCTCTAACTTTCTCATTGTAGATTTCAATATAGGAGACTTCCACTTTGTATGTAATGTTCTCATCTTCATTCTAATGGAAAGATTACAGTTACATAATTAAGTTATTAAAAGTATTATGCGCATTCCTTCCTGAAGCCCAAATTTAGTGAAAGAGAGAGAGAGGAGAGGGGAAAAGAGGAAGGTTGATAAATGAAGAATGGTGATGGATTGTGCAACACAAAAGAAAAATGAGATGAGAAGGAAGTGGCACTGGGGCAATCTGTTGCATTGGCTTTAAAGGTACAGTGTACAGTGCACATGTACTTGTACGAGCAGCCATTTAGGATACACCCCTTTTTTGCCATTTTGGTGTAAAAATATCCACAAAATTTTTTATCATTTTTGTCTCACATCACGTATGATGTAGTGAAAACATATGTACATATATTTGTCTTTGAATAATAGAGAGAGAAAGATAAGTTACCAGTTGAAAATACATAATTCAAGCTGAATTTCTAGTTTGAGTTTTACCAACTTTGAAGCTTTATGGTATTTAAACAAAGCCAGGGGCAGAGTCTAGAAACAACAAAGGTTTTTAAAAGCCAGAGTCTGAAACAGGAATAGAGAAAGTTATGTCTTGGTCTGAGGAAGGGTCTGGATTAGAGGAGATTAAAACAAATCTCCCACCTGGAGTTCCCAGGAGAGTCTGTGCACTACACACATGAACATAAATACTGATAGATCAAGTTGTACCACAAGTGTACTATTACAGTAACTCCAAGTCTTCATTTGACTTCATGCATTTTTCCTCATGACTTTCATTTCACTTATTTATGGCAAGTTTAACTTACACCTGAAATTCTATCAAATAGTTCATTGCACAGCCTGGGAATCAGGCCTGTCTGGTTCTGGCTTCCCATCATGGTGTACGTCTTTCCAGATCCTTATAACAAGAAGAAAGAGATGCCAGGTATGTGAGTGAAGTCACCATGTAGCCTACTAGTGCAACAACTTATTGCTGTTTCTGTTGTATGAATGGGGGAGCAGCACTGTTACTCCGCCTGAAATGCATGTTTCTACCTAGCAGGTTACCCCCTCCCCCTCATGACATGCCCATTGCAGAAATGTG